GGCATGGCAGTGTCAGAGACAGTGCGATTGGCACAGGACAGAGCAGAGTTTAGGGCTGTCGTACATAGGGTCGCTATGAGTTGCAAGCGACTCGACGGCACATAACAACAACAAAGATAAAATAGACTTGAATATGGTATGGAAGAATTAGTGTCTTTTAGAAAATTAAGAATGGAAAATATATTTCCATTTTTTGTTCTCTGGAGTAGGAAAAGAGTTGCATGCAACACTGAACGATGCCATGGGCAAATTCCTGAACTATAGAAAAGTAACAAAAATGAGGTATCTATAACACTGATGTAAGAAAATCTGTACTACATATACCTTATGCCAGAGCGATTGGCACAGGACAGAGTGGACTTTAAGGCTGTTGTATATAGGGTTGCTATGAGTCGCAGGCGACTCGACGGCACATAACAACAACAACAACCATTATAAAAAAATCAAATCCACAGAAGCAGTTTTATCACATATAAATGGTATCTCATTATTCTCTACCGACACAAGGGACTTCACAAGTTAAATAATCCTACTAGCCTAGAAGTAGAGGAAAAAACATTAGCTCAAACTATCAAGGAAGACAAAAAAGTCTTACTCTTTACTTACAGAAAAATTAACACTATTTAGGAAGAGTTATCTAGACATAAATAAATAGTATGGATTACTAAATGGTCTAATGATGTCACAAATTAGAAAAGTCGCACCTTACAAGTATATCTAACATTCAAGTGTTAGAGGTTCTGAAGTCCTTAAGTTTGTAATAACTAATAACTCATTTTTGCTCTAATTTTAACTAGCTGTACAATTTGGAACAAATCATCATGTGTCTGTCTATACATGTTTCCTAATCTATAAAAATGAAGAGAATGAAAGAGAGGGTCTCTTTCAACAAAAACATTAGGTCCATTCAACTACTGTTAATAAAAGTTAGAAATGAGTAAGCAGTTATACCTTAAATACCCAAGAACCAGTTTCAGGTCGATATTCTTTAAACTGTGCTCCCTGTTTTCTTGAAACGGCTTCTAGTCTCCCCTCATAGTTTATATCAGCAAGTCGATCTGGACTCTTTATTAAACAACGAGATGTTTTGTCTGTTGGCCAAACTCCATCCAATGTAACTTCAGCCTTCCTGTGAAGTACAGCCAAGTAATGTATAAATGCATCATAGTGAAGACCAGAAAACTCGTTAACACCTATTGTGTGCCGCTGAGTGTGAACTGAACTAACCCAATGCCAACCTTCCAGTGGAGTTTCAGAGGTAGTAAGTTGCATGGAAGGAGAGTGCCCCTCACTCTATATTATATATAATAAACCTACTTATATTAAGTATTAAAATAAAGATGGATGTTACTTTGGAATTATATTGTAGGTGTCTCTAAACTTTCCCAGACAGATAAACAAAAGCAAAGAGTCCTACAACATCAACTAGCTAAATATTTGGTTCTGCATCAAATCACATTTATTTTAAACACATCATTATCTAATTTTAGAAACACTTAGGCAATGAATCTAAGTAATTAAGTCACAGAATAGTGAAAGTAAGTCAGTCTTAGCATACATCTAAGTTCTATATTTTAATAATAGTAACAATAAAAGTAATAACAGTAGTTAGTACCAATTATTATTAACACCAAATACCTACAGAATGAAGTAAGAGGAACATAAGTGAATGTTATATATATTCAGTATGTGAAGATAGTAATAGTAGTAGTAAGGTAGTCCCTTTAATATCAATATGTGAGGTAAGACTGCGACATTTTCATCTGGTCGGTCTTAGTTAATATAGTTTAATATAGTTTTGAGCAGGAAATAAGTACGCAGTCATATTACTTAATAAAAGGAGTACCTTTATAGAATAAACACAGACATAGACAATGATTCTACAAAATATCAAGACAGATGATCTAAATCAAGAAGAAGAACTGTCAGAGGGGATAAATAATGCATACTGTATTGAAACAGATGAGGGAGAAAACTGTTTGAAAGGAATATATGATTAGGTATTATTTTTATGACAAGAGTCCAGAATGTGAGTTGCATGGCGGAGGAGGGGACTGTGTAAAAATGAATAATTTCTTACTTTTCAAAGACAACAGGGGGGAGGCATAGGCAGGGAAGAAAATGTGCAGCAATGAATGAATGGAAATCCAAAGTCTCTATAAACTTTCATTGAAATTTCAATTAAAAAAGGAGTTTTTTTAAAAAAAGCACGAAATGTCATGATTTAAGGTGTTGTGTTAAAACACAGGAAGACTGAAGCAAGGCCATAATGAGGGAGGGGGGAAAATAAAAATAAAATGCTATTAAACACCAAAAAACTAGTGATAGAACATGAAATATTGGAAAAGGAGAGAGAAGCAAAACCATGAAGTGTATTGCTCTAATTATTTTAAAGTAAGGGTAATGATAATCACATGGTCAAAGAGCAAGTTGCAGAAAAACACATGTACTATGGTTCCATTTATACATTTAAAAAATCCAACCTAAAAACAAATCAAATTGCATAGCTGGCTATTTTCTATACACATAAATATATTCTTACCTATTTAGTCCTTCGCCCACAGGTGGCTTTTGACTATCATCTAAGTAGACAATCACTTCTTTCCTTCGGATATGCACAATATCATCCAAATTTAGATTTGTCAAATTCACGTCTCCTTCAAAATATATTGAACCATAACCTACAAATGAGAATAAACAGTTTAAAAAATGGATCCTCTGTGAAGGGCAAAATCTACTTTAAACCACTAGTAATGACACAATCAGAAGGAGAAAAGAGTAAGAAGCATTACTCAAAATTTTAAATAAAAAAAAAAAAAATTTAAATCATCCAGCAATATCTAAAGTGGGTTATCTATCCACAATATTCTAAATGGTATGAGGTGAGATCAATTAGACTGTTACTGAGTTTATCATTTTATATTTTTGTTGTCCTCAAAAGAGCTTTCTTCAATTTCATAATTATCTGTAATGTTGCTACAGAAACCTTTAGCACCTAGCCAAAGACGGTTAATGGTTAACCGTCTAGCCCTTATTTTACTAAGCAAAATGAGAGTCCTACCCTCCTGTCAATGAAATTATATGTTTAATAACATGAATAAGAGGATAGTGACATTGATAAAGTATAGGATTATACACTAAACTATTATAATTAATATTGATAAATTATTCAAGTAAAACACCAAACAACAACAACAAAAAAAAAGAGTGGACGCTGGGGCTGTTTCTGGACAATGGAATTTGATTACTAGGTTAGAGATTTAGCATCTTGGCTTCTTGGGACATCTCAGTTAACCAATTACCTCCATAATTTGCAATGAAAGCAAAAGAGCTGAACACTTAGATCCATGCTATAGAAGAATCTTAGTCAAAAGGGGTGAAAGGCAGAACAGAATTTCAGATTCTGTTCCAAAAAGCCTTCAGACTTTCTGGAGCCACACATGCTAGAAGAACTAAAACTATTCTCTTGAGATAATCATAAACAAAATCTGAATTGTTCTTAAAACAAACAGTCCTTTTTTAAATATCTACCTGAAGTATCGTGTTCTTTCAAGAACTATATTTATGATGATATATATATTATATACACACACACACACATATATATGTAAATATAAAATTCTATATATAGGATCAAATTGGCAACAGTAACATATTAGACAGGAACCTTAGTGCACAATGAGTTTGTGTTTACAAGGGAAGGACCACTCATAAAAAGGATGGTGACAATAGCTGAAGAACTTTAGGAATGTAACAGACATCACTTATCTGTCTATGAACAAATGACTGAATTTGTGTCTTCTAGGTTGCAACACCCCCATGATACATCTTGAAGGATATGTACATGTACAGCCAAGCACAATCAATAAGAGTGCATCTGAATTCCA